GCTGTGCCAGATTTGGGGGATGTTCAAACTCTGGGCTCTGCAGCCTCTGGGCCAGCTCTCCTCAAAAMCCCTTTGAAACATCAGTTCCTAAAGCACACCTCTGACAGTGTGCTTGGGTTTTGCTGGAGCTCCTTGGGATGGTTGGACTCATGGGCTGAGGTGGTGGCAGGGCTGGGCACTGCAGGAACCCAGGTCCATGTGGAAAATGCCCCTTGTCTGTTCAGGGATTTGGGAGCTCTGGGAGGCTGTGCTCACAGCCTGGCCTTCTGGGTGCCCTCRGGATGCTCTGGGCACCCCTGGAGAGGTGAGCTCACCCAGGAGTGTGCATCCCTCAGCATTCCCTGGCTGGGGAGRGCACAGCTGGAAACTGTGGTGCTGTCCCTAAAGGTGGGGCATTGTCCATGAAAAACAAAGTGTGGGGCTGGCAGAGCTTGGGGGCAGGATGGGGCAATGTGGGTGCCAGGTCCCCATGCCTCGGGTGCTCCCAGCCCTGCAGCTCTGCAGCCAAGAGAATTTTCCACTCTCAGCTGCAGGGGATGTTTTGTTCTGTGKATAATTGCAGCCCTTTCCTGCTGTTTGTGGACCCTGTGAAAAGATGAGCTGGACCATGGGGACTTGTTCTTACAGTAGGGTGGGATTTGAAAGGGTTCGGCTTCTTTCTTCCCGTAACAAATTTTGAGTTTTTATGGATTGTTTCTTCCTAAAACAAATTTTGGGTTTTTATGGATTGTTTCTTCCCAAAACAAATTTTTGGTTTTTATGGATTGCTTCTTCCCATAACAAATTTTGGGTTTTTATGGGTTGTTTTCAATTGTTTAATGTTAAGTCTTTAGAGGGAGGTGGGTATCAGTGAACCTGAGCTGTAGGAGCTGCCCAGCTGTCCTTCAGTGACAGGAGCTGACCTTTGGGGTGTTTCTGTGCCAGGGCTTGTGCAGGTGATTATTTCCTCTGATAAAACGAGGTGATTTAGGGATAAGAGGAGAAGCAGATCCTGAACAKCCCAGACAGATTTTATCTGTCCTATGCTGAGCTGTCTCTTGTTCCTCAATGTTATCTGGCAGTGGAACCACGAGAAAGGGAGAAGGGAGAATGCCAGGACTGATGCACTCAGAGGTGGGGAGAAGCTCTTGGGTCAGGAGGGTCCCCCCAGCAGGGGCAGCTGCTGCAGGCAGCACTGAGCAGCCAGGCTGCCTTCCCCCCACCCAGCACTGGCTGGGCTGCCCTAATCTGTAAATGTGCTATTTCCTGATATTTCATGGGATTTGTAATGCTGGCCAGATCTGGGTGTTTGCTTTGGACGACACCTTATCTGCTCCCAGCCTGGTCAGGGGTGCTTGGCTCATTCCTGCCTGGGAGGGCTCTGGGCGTCACTGACAGGGAGAAAAGCTGCTGTGGTGGGAGCAGGAGCTGTGAGGTGGCTGCAGGGAGGGATGGAGGGATGCTGGGGGTCCTCAGAGAGGAATGGAGAGATGCTGAGGGACCCCAGAGAGGGATGGAGGGATGCTGAGGGACCCCAGAGAGGGATGGAGGGATGCTGGGGGACCCCAGGGAGGGATGGAGGGATGCTTATTCCTGTTCCTGAGACATCCCCAGGGCCAAAAGGAGCGTGCTCCAGCTCCTCACCTGGATGTGTTCARTCCCACTGAGCACTCTGCCTGCAGCCCCAAGCTGGCTCAGTTTGTCAGCTACAGCRGGAGGGAGGAAGGAAATATTTTGATTTTTCAGTGGGGTTTCTTTTGAAGATACAATTTTTTTTKGTTAAAGAGCCATTCCCGTTGGTGCTGCCTGTGAGCTTTAGGACAGAGTACAGGTCACTGGTGTCCAGCAGGACCTGGTCTGGGCTCTGAGGTGGGAGTGTGCAGGGGAAGCTCCCTGTAATCCCTTCTTTGAGTGAGGATAACCCTGCAGGGAAGGGGGGCAGGCTGAACACCAGCCAGGCTGCTCGGACCTTCTCCAGCCCCAGAATAAGGCTGAAAAGCAGAGGGTGATGTGGTGCCAGCCTCATGAGCAGTGAGCTCATCCTTTATCAATACCCCCAATGTGTGGGTAACCATCGCTGCGAGCTGCAGGGGTTGAGCCCAGGCCAGGAATGGGTGCCAGGAACTTCTGCCTTTCCCTGACACCTCCAATCTCAGCATCTCCTGAAAACTCTGATGAACTCACTGCCCCATGCCATGACACTGCTGCACTTYGCTGACTTCCACGCCCAGAATCCAGAGCAGGCAGGACTTGTGTGGRTAAAGATGTTTAAGTCCCTCTCCAGCTCTCCTGGAGCCCCTTTAGGCCCTGGAGGGGCTCTGASCTCTCCCTGGAGCCTTCCCCTCTCCCAGTGAGCACTCCCAGCTCTCCCAGCTCCAGAGCAGAGGGGCTCCAGCCCTTGGAGCAGCTCCATGGCCTCTCTGGACTCTCCAGCAGCTCCAGGTCCTCCCTGTGCTGGACTCCAAAGTGGGACAGGGCTCTGTGGGTGGGATCTGGCCTGAGCCAGAGCTTGCTGTGGCCTCCCTGGTCCTGTTTGTACCTCCCCAGCTGTGCCTGTGCTGCTGGTGGCATCCACTGAACTCCTCAGGCCACCGAGAGAGCGTCTCTGGAGCAAAACCACCCCAGAGCATCTCTGGAGCAAAACCACCCCAGAGCATCTTGGTTTGCATCAGGAAAAGTGAAATCAGTGCTGTGATTCCATGAATCCCTGGGACAGTTGGTAGCAGAGTGGTGCCTGTCCCTGCTGCTTTTGGCTGTTCCCAGGGTTTCCATGCCTGGGAGAGCAGGTCTGAGCTGGCGTGGGCAGAGCTGGAGCTCTCTCCTCATCCTGTGTTCCCTTCTGCCTCTCTGCCCATGCAGGGAGTGCCTGCAAAGGGAAATCACACACGGGCTCTGGCAGGAAATCCAGGCTGATGAAGACYGTGCAGACCATGAAGAGCTACGGGAACTACCAGAACTGCACCATCGTGAGGCCCCACATCCCCCATTCCTACGGCACCTACGTGACCCTGGCCCCCAAAGTGCTGGTGTTCCCCATCTTCGTGCAGGTCAGTGCAGCTGSGAGGGAGCTGGGGGGTGATCAGAGCCTGGGATGGGGCTGGGCAGATCAGCAGGGTCTCAGCAGAGTCCCAGCAGAGTCCTAGCAGGGTTCCTGCCATCCTCAGCCCTCCTCTGGAGCTGGCTGTTCTCCACACGGTGCTGGAGATTGTCTCAAAGTAGATTCTGTCCTGCCCAAGCAATTATCTGTTGGATTTTTCCCCATTTTCAGCTTTCAGTTCTGATCATTGGTGTTTGCTGGAGTCAGGAGGAGGTGTCCCAGCTTCTGGTCTTCTGCAGACAGCTTTGATGTGCAGAACAGTGTGGCTGTACTGTCAGGGTGCAAACAAAGGGGTTTTAGTTTAGCTGGTGACCACCATTAAATTAAATCTCCCTTTAGGCACTGGAGGGGGTTCTGAGGTCTCCCTGGAGCCTTCTCCTCTCCAGGTRAGCACCCCCAGCTCTCCCAGCCTGGCTCCAGAGCAGAGGACMAGGATCCAAGGCACAGGGAATGTTCTGCCTCCCCAGTTCCATGAGCTGTTTTAAGGAAACAGCCCTGAATTTCATGGAAGTGGCTCTAACTCCTGTGTCCTTCATTTCGTCCTTCACATGGCCAGAATCCCACAAACCTCACCAGATCCATGTATTTTGCACACTGGTGATGAATCCCTTCATCTGTGAACCTGTGGGGAGCCCTTTGTGCTCCTCTGCCAGCAGCRATGGCTTTGTCCCCTCAGCTCAGACTGGTGACTTCCCCTGGGCTGAAGCCACAGTCCCTGTTTCCTGTCACTCCATGTTTCCTGTCACTCCAGCCTGTGCCTGKGGCCAGTGTGGGCTGGGCTGGGGCTGGGGCTGGTGTTTGACCACCTCCCTCCTCCCCATTGCACCTGACTGACCACTCACCTTGTGTCCACCTGCCTGGGCTCTGTTCTTTGGTGGGAGCACAGCTGGCACTTTCTGCCTCCTTTCTCCCCAAACCCATCTTGGACAGTGCCTGGGGTATTTCTGCCCCTTCAGGAGATGGTTTTTCTCTTTTCCCTCCTGTCCCCACTGTGTGCTCCCGAGGATGATCCCTCAGGGTTTGTTCTGCYCTCAGGACACCTGAGCCTGTCCCATTCCCCAGCGCTGACTGGGGAGCTGGGCGTGGCGTGGGAAGGGACAGGAATTCTGAAAAGTTTCTTTAAGAGTGATCCACCCCATCAGGTGCAAATATTCACATCTGAGGGACGTGGGAACCCGACGTGGCACCCGTGTGGTTGTGTTTCCTGCTGACAAACCTCCCCAACCGCCCAGCAGAACAGTCCCTGCACAAAGGCCGGGGCTGGCTGCCTTTTCGAGGGCTGGCTGCCTTTTCACAGCTGGGCTGACCGAGGTGTGAGTGCAGGGTTTTGTTTGCTCCTCTAACTTGTGTCCTGAGCACAGTGTGAGGTGGCTTCTCCCTGGATGAGTTACAGCTCAAAGTGAAGACAGCGTGGCTGTGGTGGGTGGAAAATTTATCTCACAAACCACGTTGCCACTGGAAGGTTTGACTGTTTCTTTTGTKTTCTTMTYTKTTTTTTTTTTKCCATCCCAACCAAGCCCCTGGATCTTTGCAACCCAGCCCGGACTCTGCTGCTGTCGGAGGAGCTGCTCCTTCACGAGAGCAGGAACAGAACTACCCAGGTAAAACCYTTTCCTGTTGTCTGAGCTTTCTAAACCTGCACTTCTGCAGTCTTAGATAGAGGATGGAATTACAGAATCACAGTGGTTTGTTTTGAAGGGACTTTAGAGTTCATCCAGTTCCACCCTTGCCATGGGCAGGGACACCTTCCACTGTCCCAGGCTGCTCCCAGCCCCAGTGTCCAGCCTGGCCTTGGACACTGCCAGGGATCCAGGGGCAGCCACAGCTGCTCTGAGCACTTCCCACCCTGACAGGGAGGAATTATTTCCCAATATCCCATCTATCCCTGCCCTCTGGCAGTTGGAAGCCATTCCCCCTTGTCCTATCCCTCCATTTCTTTTCTCCAGCTCTTCTGGAGCCCCTTKAGGCACTGGAAGGGACATGGAGAAGGGACTGGAAGGGACACCTCATTACACTGAGATGGGAAATGTTTTATTGTGCAGAAACTAATATGATGCTTGGAAAGACTTGTCATCAGTTTCTTGTRGCATAAACTAAATATCAAAACTCTTCTGTGCTGGAAATCATCTTTTCTTCCTGTCTCCTTTGATCTCACAGAGGGAAAACTGTGAGTGGCAAATGCGCATCAGTGACAGCCCAGCAGGCTTGGGAGGAGGGGGTTGAAGGGTATTTTGTGCCAGGTTAGGGAATCACAGAATGACAAAATGGTTCAGTCCCCTCTCCCTGCTCAACCCCACTCAGGGTTGTGTCCAAGTGGCTTTGCAGCAGCTCTAGGGAAGGAGAATCCACAGCCCAGAGCTAGAGCTAGGCAGAGAACTTGCTACAGATGCTCTGAGAATTTCAGTTCCTCAGGTCACACGTCCTGCCCGAATTCCTCTCATTCTTCTTACTCCAGCTTTCTTGCCAGGCTGTTGGAGAGCTCTTAGAAATCTGGGGACTCTGTGGAGCTTGGGCACCCTGTGGATGGGACAACTTCTGTCACCCAAACTGGCAGAGTTTGGCTGTGTTGATCACATTTGCTGCTGGCTTCACTTGCATCCAGCTGCAAAGCCCTGGGATTTGGGCTGCAGAGCCCACTCAGGCATTGCTCACCAGTGCCATTTCTTTTGGGGTCGTTTCAGAGGATCTCACCACTGTACAGAGTCATTTGGGGTTGAATTTAGCTGTGACATCCTCACAGATCTGTAAAGGAGGTTCTGTTTTAGGGTGATACCTTCTGGGTGGTCAACAGCAGAACCTCAGAGCCACCTCCCAATACTCCCAGTACAAACCAGTGCAGGGCTGTGTTAAGTGGCTCCTCTCTCTTTCTGCTTTTCACTGTGTAATTCATCCCTTTCTTTGACTTGAATCCATTGGGGTTATTTTCTGCCCAGAAGTACATGAAAATACATCAAAGTGTATGAAAAATTCCATGATTGATTAGAAAACTTGGCATTAACTTGTAACTAGGACCCTTCCCCTGTCTGTCCTGCTGTCCTGTGCAGCTCAGGGTCTCCTGGGCACCTGCAGGAATGAAACCCAGCTAAACTCTTGGTTGTGTGCCACAGCTGTGGATGGGAATAGAGCTGAAATCAGGGAACTCCTCCTCCTGGGTGGGTTGGAGGTGCCTGCTTTCAGGCCAGGCTCAGGTGTCTGGGGTAGCAGCCAAATGTGGAATATTTATTATGGAGATATATTTATATATATAATGGAGATAGAAATATATATATATATATATATATATATAAATAAAATGGAGATATATATATATATATATATATATAAATGGATATATATATAAAATGGATATATATATGATGGAGGTATATATATTTATAAATTGATATATATATTTATGATAGATATACATACACATATATACAAATAGATATATATAATAGTTATATATAATAGATAGATAGATAGATAGATAGATAGATAGATAAATAAAATATATATATTATGGATAACTAATGCTGTTTGCAGCCTGGGTGGGGTATTTGTGCACATGGGGAGGATGGAGAACCCCAGCACAAGCGTGTTTGGAGGAGGGGTCTGCTCTTCCCTGCAGAGACCCCGCTGTGGGCAGGGTCAGGAGGGAAATGTCTCAGGGAAAGGACTTTGCTTAGGATGCTTTTGGGATGAGTGTGAAGCTGGGGGAGGATTTCCCAGCTGGAGCTGGTGCCAGGAAAGGGCAGGATGGTGGCCAGGGACGTGAGGCAGCGTTGGGGAATGCTGGTGCCCGGGGGCTGTGGTGTCTGGGTGAGCTGGCACAGGGCAGGGCAGGAGGGGCTGACTCAGGGGGTGAGGAATGGGAACAGCTCGTGGTGCTGAGCCCTTGCTGGCAGTGACAGGGAGGTGCCAGCACCGGGGTGTCACCCAGGGCCCCTGGAAAGGGCTCTCTGGTGTCTGAGTGTGTGGCACAGCTGTGGGAGGCTCTGTAGAGCTTCAAGGACTCCATGCAGGTCTCTCTGGAACACCGGGCTCTGCTCTCCAGTGGAGCAGGGCTGTCAGCTCTGGTTCTGCTGGGCTGGGAAGGGACTGACCCTCAGCCTCTGGAGCCCAACACAGCCTGGGCACAATGGAGCTGCCTTGGGGCAGGCGGGCTCTGACTCCTCCCTTTGCTGGACTTGAACCCTTTCCCTCTCCAGCCTTCTCTGCTGCCCACACAGAGGCTCTCTTKTGTCCAATCCATCCTTTCTTCCTTGCTCCACATGCTTTTCCATTTTCCCACTGCTTTTCCCGCACAAAAAGCTCCTGTGCTTTGCAGGACTGAGTACAAAGTGAGGGAGGAGGGCCCAGGTGAATTTGCAGGCACTGGAGGTCCCCCTCCTTTCTTTTTTTCCTAACCTACCCAGAACCTTTTCCCTGCTGCAGTTTTGACATCAGGCACCCCATCCTTGTCCCTGAACAAACTCTCTCCCATCTCCTGAAGGAGCCAACCTATCTCTCTGGAGGCTTGCCAGGCTCTGGCCTTTCCCTGACCTTACCTCTGGGGCAATCCTTATTCAGGCCTTAATCACATCCTGTCTAGACTTTGCTGCAGTTCCCGCTTTTATGCTCTCCTGAAATCCCTCCAGCCCCTGGAGAGGGCCAGAGGAGCCCGTGGGCCATGGCACACGAGGGGTCCAGGGTGGGATTTGGCCCCATCCATCCCTGTCCAGTGGAGCTGGAGGTCTCCCAGAGCCCTGGGATGTCTGCACAGCGTGAGCCATGCYCGTGCCCTTCCTGTCCCTCCTTCCTGCCACCCTGGCAGGGCAGGGTGGGCTCCCTGCAGTGAGACCCCATGGATGGGCATGGCCAGGGTAATGCTCTTCTCTCTCTCATTCTTTCCCCAAATTCCTGGCACTAGTGGCCTGGTTGGGCTGCCAGTTCCCTGCTTTGGTGGTCACTGAGTTTGACCCAAACCCTGCTCCTTGGCACAGGTGTTTGAAGCTTGTTTTCTGCCTATTTTAGCCACTTTAATTTCGGTGAAAATAGCAGAAACCTGCACGTACCTCCTCCTTCCATCCACCACACTGCTCCCACTGACTGTCCCCGCTTCACAACCTCTTAATATCCTTTTTTACACCATTTTTTACACCATTTTTACACCATTTTTACACCATTTCCCCATCTGCACAGCCACTGCCTGTGCTGTCTGAGGGAGGGACTGGGATTCCTTGGGGTGTTCAGTGCCTGCTCACCCCTGATGGTCACAGGATGGTCAAGGAAAGAAGAGTTTTAGTTTCAGGTAAGGCAAGGCAAGGGCCCAAGTTGATACCTAAAGCCTTCACTGGGGATCTCCTTTTGGAAAGTGTGGTGGTTTATCCTGGCTGAGTATTTCACCTCCTTCCTGAGTGGATGATTTCCCACCTGATAATATTGACATAAAAAATGTGTCAGGCAGTGAAAGAGGGTAAATGTGGGCTGAGAGGCTGCTGAGAAGTTCTTCTGTCCCCAGAGGGTGCTGGCACTGCCCAGGCTCCCCAGGRAATGGTCCCGGCCCCGAGGCTGCCAGAGCTCCAGGAGCGTTTGGACAGCGCTGCCAGGGATGGACAGGGTGGGGTTTTGGGGGGTCTGGGCAGGGACAGGGGCTGGACTGGGTGATCCTCCCAGCTCAGGATATCCTGTGACTCCATGATTCTGTGATCTTTGGGGTTTACTGTGTGCCCCAGCTCCTGGAGAGCCTGTTCAGTCCCCACCACCCTCTGGATTAAGATCTTCTCAGCAGCCCACATTTACCCTCTTTCACTGCCTGATGCTTTCTTTTTCTCCCAATATCAGTTTCACAAGAGGGCTACCAGGATAAATCAAAATATCAAAAACTGGAGGAACATTAAGAAAGCTTTATCCATTTAGCTGAACTGAACTAATGGAAGTGCAGGAACTCTGCAGACACTCTCTTGTGCTGGTAGCACTGGAGCTTCCCGTTTGAAGCTGGGATAATTTTTCTGKAGAAGAATGCAGGAAACAGAAAATGTGTGTGGCTCAGTCCTGGGGGTGAATACCTGTCCCAAGAGGTCCCCACCTGGTCACAGGGTCTTTCTGGCCATGCAGGCAGCGTTCTCTGGCCAGCTGAGATGCAGGTGACTATCACCATGTTCTCATTTGGCATCTGGCAGCTCTGTCATGAAACCTTCTGCTCTCTCAGCTCCCTGTTCCGCTGGGCACTGCTGTGAGACTCTGGCTAGAGAGGGAGATGGCTCAGAGTGACTCCACTGGCTCAGATTTCCTGATTTCCTCAGATTTTGCTGAGCACAGGGACAGGTGGCCCTGACCCATTGGTGACTCTCCTGGTGTCCCTGCTGCAGCTGCGAGGTGTGCCCTGCTCCCTGCTGCTTCCAGGGGCTGTCTGGGCACAGATGAGCAACAGAGGACGAGGTTGGGAAGGGAATTAACTATTCTTAAGTGTGAATGTCACTTGAGACCTCAAGGCTTTATTTCTGGGCACCTTTTTATGGTGATTTTGTTGGCACATTTTCCTTTCCAAGATGTGATGTGGCAGTCCTAGGGTTATCCCCTCTAGGGAAGCACGTTGCTCCCACCTTCCCCCTGGGCTTTCAGTTTCTCTTCATTTCCTTCAGGAAACTCTTTAAACTCTTTAAACTGTGCCCTGTGTCAGTGCTTTGCCAGCTCTGTAGCTGCTCAGTCCCCTCAGCAGAAGAGGCTGTGCTGTTTGCCATGTGGCAGAGCACACCCAGATGAGCAGTGTGGACACTTCAGGGTCAGCCTCTAGGAACARTTTTTTCCCACTGTAAAATCTGTTCACACCCCTGAAAGGTACTTGTGACCATGACCACGTGGCTTTGACCCCAGCAACAACCCAGAGATGCCCATCTCTGTCTCCRGAGTCCTTCCCTCCTGTCAGCTGTTGTATTTCTGATTTTGGGGYAGGAAATTACTTTTGGGAAATACCYAAAGCTACTCTGACTCCCCAAGGAGCAGCTCTGGTGGATTCTGTGCCTTGCCTGGGTGAACCCAGACATTGTGTTTGTTGTTTGTTTGCTCTTGGCTTTTATTAGCCCTGTGATTTCTCAGGGTAGATGTGTTTGCCAAGGGCTGTCAGAGACAGGTCACAGCCTGTCAGTGTGGGATGGCAGAGCCCCACAGACTCCTCCAGCCTCCCCTCATYCCTGCTGCCCTGGGGTCATCCATGAGCAGAGCTTTCCCTGCTCAGCTCTCAGGGGGAAGATGTGTCCAGCTCCCACCTCAGGGGTCTGCTGGAGCCCCGGGCCTGCAGTGCTGGGCTGGCTTTGGATCTGCCTCTGCTTCTCCTCTGCCTTTCCTCTGCCTTTCCTCTGCCTCTCCTCTGCCTCTCCTCTGCCTCTGCCTCTCCTCTGCCTCTCCTCTCCCTCTCCTCTGCCTCTGCCTCTCCCTCTCCTCTGCCTCTGCCTCTCCCTCTCCTCTCCCTCTGGGGGTGCAAGGGACACTTTTGCTTTCCCCCACAAGAGCCTGGAGGAGCAGAGGGGCCTTCACCAACTGCTCTAAGATTAAGTGTGTTCCTGGAAACAGCATCTGATGGAGATGCTCTTACAGAACCCATGCTAGATGTGCTTTTATCTTCTACATCCCGAATTCAGTCCATCCCATCTTCCTGTAAAAGCACAATRTTACCTGTAAATCCTTATCATGTAATTCTATTTCCAAGATTCTCTATTGAAACCGATTCCTTATTCAAAAAATTGGTTTTGAAGTGATTTTCCTGCTCATCCCAATCTTTTTTCTTCYGTTTAAACTTCCATGAGTAGCAAGTCTTAAGTTTCTTTCCCCCATTTCCATGTGACCTCTTGYTGATCATGCTTTTATCTCCTGCATTTTGGGTTGCTATCTCAAAATCCTTTCAAAACCTCTTCTTTGGGCTTGAGGGAACTGAGATGGCACCAGACAGGTTCCAGAAAAGTCACCTTTTGTCAAAGGTGGGTGTGGGATGGAGGCTGCAGTGCAGTTTGTACGTGGTTATTCCTTGGAAGGAATGGAGAGGGTGGATGTAGCACTGGGCCAGCAGAGTGCTGAGAGCAGAGGAAGGGATTTTCCAAATAATGCAGAGAARAGCAGCCCCTCCCTGGTTTCACTGTCAGTTAAAGCTCCACCAGCAGCTTTCTGCTAATCGAGAATCCCACAAAAACGAGTTTGCACTGCACGGAGAAATCTTGTGGTGAGGGCTTGGTTTTGGATCCAGAGCCAGCTGAGGCTCCCCACATGTGATGACTGTCCTGCTGACCCAAATTGTGACTGACCCAACTTGTCCTGCTCAGGAGGTGTCCGTCAGACCTGGGCAGGGACACAAACTGTGCCTTGGTCCCTGGGGGCACAGTGTCACCTCTCTGTGCCCTCTCCCACCTGCCTGGGGCTCTGGCTGTTGTCTCCTTTTCCAAAAGGGTTCCTCAAAGGCCACAAACGCTTCCTTGCTGTGGCTTGGGGTTGCAGAACAGCTTTGCCTTTGCTGGGAGGTTTTGGGGGCACCCCAAGGTGCTCACACCACTGTGCCAGGCACTGTGCCACTGCCATATGGCAGCTGCTCCCTGGCATCTCTGGTGACCTGGGACAGGATTTGAGAGAATGGCTGGAGCTGGGCCAGGGCAAGGTCAGGCTGGAGAGCAGGGAAAGGTTCTTCTGTCCCCAGAGGGTGCTGGCACTGCCCAGGCTCCCCAGGGAATGGTCCCGGCCCTGAGGCTGCCAGAGCTCCAGGAGCGTTTGGACAGCGCTGCCAGGGATGGACAGGGTGGGGCTGTTGGGGGGTCTGGGCAGGGACAGGGACTGGACTGGATGGTCCTGTTGGTCCCTCCCAGCTCGGGATATCCTGTGACTCCATGGTTCTGTGAACTTTGGGGTTTTCTGTGTGCCCCAGCTCCTGGAGGACAGGACAGGCTCACAGCTCAGCTATGTGCACCAGGCTTCTCATCCCTGGCTCAAGGAACTCCAGTGCAGGGGAGAAGCTCATTCTTATTTCMAAGGTCTCATTAATCTGAGCTGATTGAACTGAGGACCTTGGGCAATGCTTTTCCCACTGGTCTGGGGTAGCTCCTGGGACAGAGTCACTGCTGGTGCAGTTCTGGGTGCACACGTGGGCCAGTGTTTCCTTTCCACCCCCACCGTGGTTTGGGGTGTCACCTTTGTCCCCTGCAGCTGCTTTTGTGGGTCCTGCTCCTGTAAGAACCAAACTTTATTTTCTCACTGAGAGCAGTGAGAAGCTCCTCCRTGGGCGTGCTCAGGGTGACCAGATTCGCTCTCAGGCTGCAACTTCTGCTCCGTGCTGGGATTAGTCGGCACCTCCTTCCCTCCTCCTGCTCTGATTTGTGACTGATGTCACTGGGCAGTGACAGGAGGGAGCAGAGGGTGTGTTTGTGGTGCTGAACCGTCGGGCAGGTTTGTCCCTGCTGCCACAGGGCTCCTCCAGCCTCGCTCAGCGGCTGCCGAGAGAGGGGAGCTTCACCCAGAGCCCAGGGGTGCAGGAGGCATCAGCCCCAGGAAAGGGGAGCTTCGCCCAGGGGTGCAGCAGCCATCAGCCCTGGGAAGGGCTGGCCGGGCTCCCTGCTGTGGCTGCTCCTGTCCCCAGGACACCGCCTCAGTGCCACGAGATGAGCTCCTCAGAGCTTCTCCTCTGCTGCTCCTGTGCTTCCAGGTGACCCTTTTTGTCTACTCGGACCTGCTGCTCTTCACCAAGGAGGACGAGCCCGGGCGCTGCAACGTGCTCAGGAACCCTCTGTACCTGCACAGTGTCAAGCTCCAGGAGGGTGAGTGTCTGCAGCACAACTGGAGGCATTTTGGGGGTTTTCTGGCTGCTGCCTGCCAAGGTTTCTGGCCAGCAGCAGGAGAGCACCCCACWGTCCTGTTGCTTCCAGTGCCATCCAGCTGGTGCTTCCAGGTCATCCTTCCCGGGGTGCAGGGCCAGCTTCACCCCTCATCTCCCTGCTTTAACCCAAGCCCTGGCAGATCCATCTCCTGGGACACCTCAGGCCTTTTGCAGGTTGTTCCTTTTTGGGTGCTGTCTCAGAATTGGGGCTGGCATTYCCCGGGCTCTGTTCCCCTCGCTGGTGTCACGCTGTGGCAGCAGGGACTGGCCCAGGCTGGGAAGGGGAACTGAAGGCTCGAGGCTCCCCTGTGGTGCCTGAGGGAGTTTGGAGATTGGCTCCAAGCGGGGCTGGCCATTTGCTTCGATGCTTTGCTTTGCTACTTCTCTCTTCAGCCGCCCACGACTTCCCCCTGTGCTCACATCCATCCCCTGCTCACCCCACAGGGGAGCAGAGAGCTGGGGACCTTGCCCTCACTCTCCCCCGTGGCTGACACCTTTAGTRTCCATCTGGGGGCTCAGAGAGGGATGCAGGGGCAGGGGCTGACTGGAAATGGGTTATTGCAGGTTGAAGTGCTGAGGCTGCACAAAGAACTCCCTTTAGCTCCTCGTGGTCAGAGGAATGAGGGAATTGCTCCACCACATCCTATTTGCTACGGTGGAGCCTCTTCTTGGCCCTGGGCCCAGTTTCACCTTGTTCCTGGTGTGCTGTGGCTGCTTTTTGGGGGAGGGTAGTTTTATGTCCCGTTACCTGCCTGTGTCCGTGTGGGGCTGGGGCCAGTCCACTCCAGTCCTGGACTCCTCCAGTCCAGCAGCTGCACTGGGACCCCACGTGGGAAATTGGGGCTGTATAGAAGGGAAAACTTTCCTGTGATTAGGTTGATCAGATACTGAGCTGCMCAGAGAGGTTGTGGGATCTCCACCCTGGAGGCCTTCGGGGCTCAATGTGCACAGCCCTGAGTGCCTGATCTCGGTGCTTTGGGCAGGGGATTGGGTTCCTGAGCCCACCAGAGAGGCTTCTTCAAAATTGAATTACTCTGGAACTGATGAGCCAATGTCTTCATGCAGTCCTATGGCCCTGACCAAAATAAATGAATCCAGGTCTGGGCTGTTTCTCTAAAGGGATCATTTTCTGGATGAATTTTGCTGCTTCCCATGACTTTTCCCAGCTGAGCCATGAGCTCTGTGGTTGGGCTGTGTCTCTGCATGTGCCTTGTGTTGTTCTGAGCCTCAGTGCTGGACAYCACAGGCTGCTTGTCAGTTTTTATTTCCCATTTCCAGCAACGTTTYTGTTTCCAGATTAATTCCCTGACCTATTTGGCGGGGGCAGAAACACAGCTGAGGGAGATGGGGCACCACAGCACAATCGTTGAGAAAAACCATTGAGCCTTCCCTGGGCTTTGAGTGCGCTCTCAGCGCTGCTTATTTCTAAGAAAGGAACAAAGGAGATTGTTCCTCATTGAAGTGCTTTTGGTCCGCTCCTGGGCCATGTGCTGTGCTGCCCCTGGCTGTTCCCAAAGGCTGGGGAATGGCTCTGCTCTGCTTGGGGAAATCAGCTTCCCCTGGTGCTGCTGCAGGCACCGAGGTCTGTTCACAGCTCAGCAAAGGGTGAGCTCACCAACTGCTCACAAGCTCAGGCTCACTGGATCCTGTGAGCAGATTGCTGCCACTTATTTCCTTGTTGCCGTAATAACGTGGCTGGGTCACGTCTGGAATAGCTCCCAAGGCTCTCCAGCGGGGCTGGAGGTCCCTACAGCTCCAAACCACCCCAGTGCACCGGGAATCCAGCCCRGCTGGTGCTCAGACAGCTCAAACCCTCCAGCTTCGGGCAGGGCTGCTTCAAATGCGGCTGGAGAGAGYGAGAAGATGCCTGTGCCTCTTGGCAGGGCTGGTCTGCTGCTCTCTGGGATGACTGAACGGCCCAGGAATAGGAGCGGGCGGATGGCTGCTCCGACAATTGAGACATCTCCGGTGCGCTCAGGGCCATTGTGCTGCTTCCTGTCCCTGCCTCGCTGGCTGCTCTGTGCGACAGCAAATCGCTCTGATGTGCTGCACAATGCTCTGCGAATCGCTCTGATGTGCTGCACAATGCTCTGCCTTCCTGCTGTGCCAGCCCAGCCCGGCCTGGCTTCCCTGTTGCCCAAACTGCGGGAAAAACAAAAACTCTACAACAATATTTTTAATGCTAGAAAGTCAAGGCATGACTTTATTTTCTGGCCAGGATGTTGTTCTGGYCRSAGAAATTAYCTYRTCTGCACATAGCCCAGGTGTGCAGAGAGAATCATTCTATGACACACYAATTTTACAAGATTTTCCCTCAAACTTTATCYAGTCAAAACCCAGARAACTTTATTGGTTTAATGATMATTRGTCCAACKTTGCACAGTTCTCAGTATTTGGGTTCCTATTGGAYCTGGATTTCTTCACCTCTGAKGCTAATTAGATCCTCCTCCTTATTTTTAAMCTGGTATATTTTCCAGCATCCCCCCAGACACTGGGGGAATTTCCACACCCTGATTCACTGGGTCCTGGCTCACCCCTGGGTGGGGRTGCTCAGCTTTGGGACAGAGAGGARCATTCCYGAGAGCCCCATCCCCAGCTGGGATCCTGCAAACGAGGGCTTCTCATGGGCTGCTTTGCTGTCCTCGACATCCCATCCTGCTCCAACATAGTCAGGGGCCAAGGGTGGTGTTTATGGGCCTCCTGTCCTGCCTTGGCTGCTCTCTGCTTGCATAGGGACACCTGCCACAGTGGGTGACAAGCTTGTCCCCTCCTGGCAGCCAGGTTTGGACGTGCTCAGCCATCTCCCTCTCTTCCAACACCTCCAGGGCCTGCAGCACCTTGTCTTGGGTGCTGGGTGCAGTCCAACCCTCGCTGAGCATGGGGGGATCGGGGTGCCTGCCCTCCCCAGGGCACTGCCACGACCCTTGGGCTGTGCAGGGGAGCAGGACCAGCTGCCCTCTTCTCTTTTCCTGTCTTTTTGACCCAACATGGTCATCCTGTGAGCAGGGGGTGCTTTCCACGGGCTGGCCAGGGCAGTGGCAGGGGCAGGGCAGTGCTGGGAGCTGCTGCTGTGGGGGTGACAGGACCAGACTGGGCTGGAGAGGGGACGTGTCCCCACAGAGCTCCCTCTCTGCCCCGTGCCCAGCCTGGCACAGGGACAGTTCCTGTCACTGGCAGCCTAGCCAGTCCCCACCACAGCACAGCAGGAAGAAAAGGAGATTTCTCCAAATGAGTTTTTTCCTCCTGCTTGTTTCCTTCTAGCTTTCCCCTGAATGTGCTGTCAGACAGGTGTGGGGAGCAGAGCCAGAGACCATCCCWGTGCCACGTTGTGCCTCTCCCTGCTTTTCCTGGGCTCTGGGGCACATCAGGCTCTGCTGCTCCACCCTGACCCTCCAGAGATWTGAAAACGTGGAAGGAATCCTGGCAAACCTGGTTTGTGGTGAAATGTGCACCCAGCTCTGCCCTTCCTGGCTCTGCCATCGCCCTCCAGCCAGGGATCGGCCCTGGCTCCAGCCCAGCTGCTGGGATGGGCAGCCAGTCTCAAACCTCTTGTTTGTTCTCCCTAAAGGCTGGCAGAAAATGGGATTTAAGCCATTCCTTAGCCCAGACTGGCTCCCTGCTTTTCATGTMCTGTGGGCACTGGACTGCTTGGCCCAGAGTCTTGGAGGGGCAGGGAACAGGAGCTGCTGGCTCTGCAGGGTGCTGCTGCCCAGATTCCCAGCTCAGGAGAGGAATTTGTGAGGGAACTGAATTCTGGTGGGTTTGGACCTTGTCAGGATCACTTATTACTGCAGAAGGAGTMACCAGAGGCCCAGGAGCAGCGGGGGGCATTCCCTGGGCTGTTACACTCACCTTTCTTTCCTGAGGATCCCCCATCCCCTGGAGCACCTGGTTAAAGCTCCCRAGGGAACGTGGCTGGGATGTGTTGGTGCTCTGAGCTCTGCTTTGCCAGGCAGCCWGGGGAGGTTTGATCCTGCTGGATTTGGGGTGTTCCAGCAGCAGGTTTGCTTCCCAAACTCTGCCTTTCCCAGAGGGAAAGCATTGGGAGAGGGGCTCCCATCGGCCTCACAATGAAAATGCTKCTGCTGGTCCTGCTGGGATTGATGGAGGAGGTGTTGGGGGTGCTCAGACACGGCCAGGGGGAGCAGGGGATGTTTTATTGTGTGCAGGGATGAGGGATGGACTCCCAGCCAAGCCCACTCTGCACCTGCTGCAAGGGTCCAGCATCCCTGCCCCTCTGGAACTGAGGATTTGGACGGGCAGCCCTGGGGCCAGGCTGCTTCCCTGACCCTCACCTGGCCCGGGGCAGCGCAGGGAAGGTCTTGGGAACACACAGGGGCTTCTCCCCTGAGATGCCCACAGCAGATCCCTGTGGTGCTGGGCTCCAGCAGCCGATGTGAGACGGTGTCCTAGTGTCCCCTCAGGGATTTTCCAGCCCATATCCTGCMAAATGCATTAAAGCTGAAGCTGGCAGTGCAGGCAGAGCTGGGACCCCACAAAGGGCATCTGGAACAAATATCAGCAAAGGGCTCCAGGCCACTCCTTTGTAGTTTCACACTGCTCAGGGAGTGGCTCCAGAGGCATCTTGAGTCCCTCAGTGGGTCACAGTTCTCCTCTTGACATCTGGGCTGCTGCCTGCAGYGGGACAATTGTTTTCCTCAGGGGAGCAGGGTGTCTGCAGCCCTGGGCAGAACCTGCTCCCAGGCTCAGGCTGCTGAAATGAAGCAGAGCTCGTGCTGGCACCACTTCCAGAGGGATCTGCAGCTGTGCCCAGGCTGCAGCCCTCATCTCCTGGCACAGACAATGCCATCAGGAGCCTGGGGCAAGCAGCAGAGCAAGGGCAGAGCTGCTGTGAAGGAGCCAAGGCAGCTCCTGGAGATGGGATGTCCCCTCTGGAGATGGGATGTCCCCTCTGGAGATGGGGTGTCCCCTCTGGAGATGGGATGTCCCCTCTGGAGATGGGATGTCTCCTCTGGAGATGGGATGTCCAGCTCTGGAGATGGGATGTCCTCTCTGGAGTTGGGATGTCCCCTCTGGAGATGGGATGTCCTCTCTGGAGTTGGGATGTCCCCTCTGGAGATGGGATGTCCCCTCTGGAGATGAGATGTCCTGCTCCAGAGCTGAGGTGGTCCTGTCCTGGGGCAGGTTCATGTCCTCTGTGAGGCTGATGTGTGCCCGGAGCTGGCTTGCCTCAAACTGGGGACACACCAAGGCCAGGGCAAATCTTTGGGCATGCTTTTGGGGTGGGTGCAGGGAAGGCTGGGCCTGCAGGAGCAGCCTGGTGGAGCAGCTGGAGGGTTCCACATCTCCTGGGGTAGGTGGCTGCAGATGAGGAGCTGTTCTGGGCTGCTCCATGGTTTAGCAAGGTGTGGATGGCGGGGTTGGTTGTTGTGTTGTCCCCAGCTCCATCTCCTTTCACAAAACTGAGGAAGTGCAAGTTCCTTGGCCAGCTCTCCTGAGTGTCCCATGCTGGGGACTTTGGGAAGTTTGCCCTAAGCCTGATGGAGCAGGATGAGCTCTTCCCGCTGCCCCTTCCCTTGCCCTGGGAAGAGCTCTTCCCTCTGCCCCAAATCCCTTGCCCTGGGATTTGGCTCCATTTCCTTGGAGAGGCATTGCCCCAGCTGCTGGCACTGAGGGAAGTTGGGACAGACAGCAGAACTGCCAGAGCCACCCAGGGCTTGGGCCAAGAAGCTGGGAATGAGATAYAGGAACAGGAGCTTTTCTGTCATTCCTTGTGGGAGCAAAGTGTCCGCAGGGATAAGGGGGAGTGACCCATCCCTGGTTCCGAGGGTGGCTGTGTGGGCACTGCAGGACTCCTGGGGAGTTCYCACAGGGCCAGGTGCCAGGGCAGGCTGGGCAGCAATACTGCACAGAMTGAAACCCCTCTTTTCCAGGGGGACAAACCCCCAGGAGGATCCCTGCCAGCCCTGCAGGATCCCGGGCAGCGCGTCCCGCCCGCGCCGGCCCCGCAGATGCCACACACATCACCGGGTCACAGCCTGGCACTGCGGGGACACAACAAACGTTCATTCAGTGCTGCTCCGGGCCAGCTCCCTGCCCGGGGCTCCACTCACAGAAATGCAGCTGCAGCTCCCTTCTGATCCTGGTTTCTCTCCTCTGCAGGTTCAGAAGATCGCAAGTTCTGCCTCCTTTACCTGGCAGAGGTGAGTGGTGCTSTTTTCCAGTTCAACTTTCCAGTGGGAGCTGGGCAGGTACTGACAGCTCTGATCCTTTCTCCTGGGGCAAGGAGCACTGCATGGACTGATTTTAATTTCCTTTGCACTGGGTTTGCCAGAGGCCTGGAAAGGAAATGTGATGGCTGTAGGATATATAGCCTGAATGCAAATGGAGGATATATGAGTAAGCTGCTAAAAGGTGCTGTGAACAGGGAGCTTGGGCAGCACTAGGACAGGTTTTGTTTTCCCCTTCCCCTTGTGGATCTCCCCTAAGGCATCTCACTTTTGTTTTCTCTTGGGATTCTTTCCCCTGGGGGCGGATATCTGCCAAATGTTTTGTCTCTATTTTTAGGCACCTTGCTTTTCTTGTCTTCAAGCATCCAGGTTTGGATGCTTGGAGCCCTCAAATAAAACAAGGAAGGCCAGCCTAAAGGACACAGAATTGTAGCTCTAAACCCTCTGAGTGCTCTAATCAGATTTGGGCTCACCCAGACATCAGCACAGTCTTTGTYCCATCAAGGACGCTGCAAAATTGGTTCACACTGAACCTTCCCAAACCATTGAAGGCTGCGGATTTTTTTTCCTTTTCCAGTGCCTGTTCTGTGTTCCTGCTTTCAAGGCCTCGCATTTTCCAAGGTGGGAAGGTGGATCTGGGAAAGCTCCCCAGGGCAGGCAGGAGAAAGGCAAACATTGCTCAGTGGCTCTGTGCAATAATGAGCCATTGTGAGGGCTGGGTGCGAATGCTCAGCGTGGAAGTTGTTCACCTTGAGTGGCTGGAGCTGGGCCAGGGCACGACTCACTGCAGAGTGAATCCTCCACTCGTCTCTTGTTCCTTCCCTCCTGTTCCTTCCTTGTCTGCTCTGTCCCTTGCTGGGGTGGCTGAGCCTGCCCTCGGGGGTTTGCTCAGTGCGTGTCCCAGGGCAATGTCACCCTGGGCTGGTGACAGCTCATCCTGGGCTCTGACTCAGCCAGGCTGTGCCCGGGGTTTGGATGAGGCTCTCCRGCATTTTCTCAGGCACTTGGAGAAATGCACTCAGAGGCTGATATTTGATTTAGAAGCTCAGTGCCCCWAAGTAGAAGTGACCAAAAGAGAGCTGGCTGTGTTTCATGAGWTCTTGAGAGGTGAAGGGCTGTCTTTGTCAGGCTGTGATGAAGCGCTGGGCATTCTCTGAGGGCCCTAATTGGCTGTAAGAGCTCTGGAGATGAAGATCCCTGGCATCTGTTGTGGCTGGAGTGGAGTATTTAGATAGAAAATGTGAGACCTTGGCCTTCCTACTCCTCTTCCCTCACAGGCTTCAGTAACTCTGGGCTGGCCATACTGGGGGATTCTGCAGCCCCCTTCCTGTTCCCCCTGTCCTCCTGGGCTGTTTTGGGGTAGGTCACCAGTGGAGGGGTGAGGCCCTAACCCTAACCCTTGCCCATCCATGGTGGCCAGGAGTGGGGGCTCTCCCCCTGTGCAGGGCCAGCCCAGGCTTTCAGGTGACATCGGGCCAGCCCCTRGCTCAAGGACAGTGCCTGGCTGAGCAGGATGTCCCCTGTGCCACCCCTTCCCCCCAGCTGGGGTCTGTGCTGAGCCAGGGGGACCCTGTGGCTCTGAGGTGAAGGGGACAGGGAAGCTCCAGCTGTAGTGCTACAGGCTCTCCAGCAGTGGGAAATTGGGGGTGGAAAGGGGAAGAGAGTGGGAGATATGCCTGTGAGTCAGCAGGGAACCAGGCCAGGACGGGGCTCTCTTACCAGACTTCTCTTCTGGGCACCAGTGATGTGCAGGTCACCTCCCCAGAGCCACGGGCAGGGGTGACAGGGGTGACAGGGGTGACAGGGGTGACAGGGTGACAGGGGTGACAGGGGTGACAGGGGTGACAGGGGTGCAGGGGACCAGGAACCTCCCAGCTGTGCAGCACCAAGCCTGGGTGGCTCAGTGAACTGTCCCACGTGCAGAGAGTTGGGCTCTTCTCAAACAATGGGATGTTCTGGGAGCATCTCATTCCTGCAGGGAAGCCAAGCAGAGCATTTCCTTCGGGTTGTTTCTCTTCTTTGCATTCACATTTTAGGAGCTGCAGAGCTGTGGGGATGTCACCAGGAGGGTAGCAGGGCATGGTGCCCTCAGAGGTGTCCCTGCAGGCTGGCAGGAGCATGGAGAGGGGCTGGGGTGCCTCTCTGGGCTGCTGGAGGGTGGCTTGGTGTGTTGAGGTGATTTTTGGCTGGGCTGGGTGTGAGGCATGGCCTGCTCTCAGATGAAAGCTGGGGCTGRACTCAGAAGTGGCACTGGACTGCAGGACACACGGGGCTGGGGAGGGTCCCTGGGCCACCCCAGMACAGCTCTCCCATCTCCTGATGGATCTGTGTCCAGTGGATGCCACACTCCGGGCTGTGGCAGCTTTCTTCGCACTGCTGAGAGGCTCAGCCTCCTCCCTGACTGTGGGAACATCCCTCTGCAAGGATGGATTCCCTGGGGAGGGACTGGCTGTGCCCTGGGGACATGGATTCCCCTGGAGAGGGGCTGGTTTGGCACTGGGGATGTGGATTCCCCTGGAGAGGGGCTGGTTTGGCACTGAGGATGTGGATTCCCCTGGAGAGGGGCTGGTTTGGCACTGAGGATGTGGATTCCCCTGGAGAGGGGCTGGTTTGGCAGTGGGAACACACTCAGGCTGCTGAGAATTGGGGTACAGGGGGATCAGGACTGTCCACCCTTGGACTGCCCTTGGACTGGTGGTGACAGCTGGAAAGGGTAAAGATGGGTGAGGATGGGTGAGGGCAGGATGAGAATGGGTGAGGGGAGGATGAGGATGGGTAAGGGGAGGATGAGGATGGGTAAGGGAAGGATGAGGATGGGTAAGGGAAGGATGAGGATGGGTAAGGGAAGGATGAGGATGGGTAAGGGGAGGATGAGGATGGGTAAGGGAAGGATGAGGATGGGTAAGGGAAGGATGAGGATGGATAAAGGGGAGGATGAGGATGGGTAAGGGCAGGATGAGGATGGGTAAGGGGAGGATGAGGATGGATAAAGGGGAGGATGAGGATGGGTAAGGGGAGGATAAGGATGGGTGAGGGGAGGATGAGGATGGGTAAGGGCAGGATGAGAATGGGTAAGGGGAGGATGAGAATGGGTAAGGGGAGGATGAGGATGGGTAAGGGGAGGATGAGGATGGGTAAGGGGAGGATGAGGATGGATAAAGGGGAGGATGAGGATGGGTAAGGGGAGGATGAGGATGGGTAAGGGCAGCATGCCTGTGCTCACACACCCTCTCGGTCCCGTGCCACCCTGAGGGTGTCCCCCACCCTGCCCTGCTCCATCCCTGGCCCTGGCAGCGGCTCTGCTTTGCCCTGAGCCCTCTCCCGGCTCAGCCTGCCCTGYCTCCCCCGGTGGTCACTCCCAGCTGGGCTCCTGTCGCCGTGTGCTGGGCAGACACATCCGTTGTGCTGCWCTGACGGGGCTGGGGGGTTGGAGGAAGCTCTTGAGCTGCTGCTTGTTGCCCACAAATCATCTGCAATGAGCACTAATGTGTTTAGTGCTGCAGTGAGCTGAGAGCAGCCCCGGGGCTGGGCTGACACTGCCTTTGCTGCAGGAAGAGCTCTCTGCCGAAGCCTTGAGCTGCAGCCTCCTCCATTGCTCATCCTGAAGGTTTCTGAGTAAYGCCCTGACCCGGGAGGTCACAAATTTGCATTTGGATCTGGCGTGTTGCAAAATGAAAACATGCTCTGATACCTGTGAGTTGCTTAATTTATTATAAACAAGAAAGAAAGTTCCAACCTTGAGGAAGTGTCACAAAAAGCTGCTGCTGCTGCTCATCCTGCCTGGTTGTGTGCAGTCAATCACTGCACAGGGATTGAAGCCTGGGCAGTTTGGTTGTTTGCAGGCAGAGCTAACAGGGGCTGCAGGGCTTGCTGTGGGTTCCAGCACAAAGGRGGTTGGTTTTACAGGCTCTTCATGGTGAGAATGGAAGGGTTTGGGGATCCTGAGTGCARGTGGAGCCAGTTCTGGAGGGGCACGTGGCATCCTGGAAAGGTTGAATGTAGAATGGAATTGGAAAGAATGTAGGATCATAGGGAGGTTCTCCACTGAGCTTTGTTCTCCACTGTCCCTTTTGGGGGTTCGTTTTGTCCCTGTTCTCCACTGTCCCTTTTGGGGGTTCGTTCCTTCTGGTGGCTGAGGGTGGCTGTGACAGTCCCAGCACAGACATGAACCAGGAATTTGGAAGTGAAGGTGGCACCTGTTGAGTTCAGGAATGCTGTGGGTGCCTGGAATCACAGAATCACAACAGCTGGGGTTGGAAGGGACCTCTGGACATCATCCAGTTCAACCTCCCAGCCCAGCCTGGGTCACCTGGGGCAGGTGACACAGGGGCATGTCCGGGTGGGTTTGGAATGTCTGGAGAGGGAGACTCCACACCCTCCCTGGGTAGCTGCCACCCTCCAGTGGATCCTTCCAGTGCTCTGACACCCTCAGTGGGAAGAATTTCTTCCTCATGTTGGGTGGAAATTCGTATGTTTTRGTTTATGGCCATTACAGCTTCTCTAACTTTTCTCTTTGCCAACTGCTTGGTGAAAAACTCTGTGTGGTCTCATTGTGCCRAGACCCGGCCTGGGCAGCTTTCCTTGCAGCATTTTCAATCCAAAGAGCAACGTTTAGAGTTGCTAAAACAGACCCTGCCTGTGACAGCTTCTGGCTGATTTGAGCACTGTAAGAGGTGGCTCTGGCACAGGGTACCCAGAGAAGCTGTGGCTGCCCCTGGCAGTGTCCAGTGCCAGGTTGGACAGGGCTTGGCTCCAAGCCCTGGGATGGTGGAAGGTGTCCCTGCCCATGGCAGGGGCAAGGGTGGGATGGGATGGGATGGGATGGGATGAGCTTTAAGGTCCCTTCCAACCCAAGCCAGTCTGGGATTCTGGGATCCAGTGTGGACCCACATTCTGCATCCCACAAGAGGTGAGTGTGGAGTTTGTCCCCATTTTCCCCATCCCACCCCATCCCCTGCAGGACACACGCACCT